ACTTACCTGTTTCTAATCAGCACCATATGTATCTTCTATTTTCCTGTGTCTCACATATATAATGAGTTAGTGGAAGGAACTCCATGAAGAATTAAAGAATGAATGAAGGAGCACCTATCTATGAGGAACCTGTCCACTGGCTGCTCAGTATGCTGAAATAGGTATTGATAGTCTGAGATTTAAAAAACCAAAAACCTGACATAAGCCGAGCAAATCAGGTTCAACCATTTAGGAATGTCAAAATGAGGAATTATTGAGAAAATCTGCAGTGACAGGGCAAAAGACAGAGGTGGTGGTAGAGACGAGCCATGGCAGCCTATGAATGTTTTTAAACTAAAATTATGAGAAGCTAGAACTCGGATTAAGACAGAAGAAAACAGAATAGTCCTAGAGATGCAGTGATGCCAGGAGAGAGACAACGAGGCAAAAAGAGCAGCCCACTCCATCAAGACTGTGTCTGGAAGGGCCTCTGCCCCTTCCTTACAGGATGCTAACGCTGAGGCCACATGGCATTTTCTCGGGAGTCTTCCCGACCAGCAGTGCTGGCAGCCAGAGAGCAACGGTCTCTGAGTAAAGGACCGGATGCTGCTTTCCAGCACCGAATGCCAGCACCCCAAACCCCAACCCTCAATTTTTTTAAAAAATATATTTTATTGATTTCTTACAGAGAGGAAGGGAGAGGGATAGAGAGTTAGAAACATCGATGAGAGAGAAACATCGATCAGCTGCCTCCTGCACTCCCCTTACTGGGGATGTGACCCACAAGCCAGGCATGTGCCCTGATCCAAATCAAACCTTTGACCTCTTGGTGTATGGGTCAATGCTCAACCACTTCTATCCACTAAGCCAAACCGGTTAGGGCCTGAACCCTCAATTTTAATAATTCAGAGGTTGTGTGCTTGCTTCAGATAAAACTTCTCGTGACCAATTTCCAAATATCTTCACTTTTTCCCTCACCCCCTCCAAAACATCCTTCCAGCCCTCAAGGGAATGGAGGAAGGAGAACAATATACAAAGCAACTGCAAGATGAGGGAGGTCACTGCTCTTTTTCTGAGTGTCCAAGGCAACGGAGGTAGCAGTGTGAACCTCTGGTGACTGAGCTGAGGAATATACCAGCTGGGGTGTGAGTGTGCGCGTGGGTTGCAGTGGGTGGTGGTGGGTATGAAACAGGGGAAGCGGTGTCTGAGTGCTCTCTTGGCCCACCCACTTTGTTTCGGTAACTGTTTTATACTGATTTTTATAGAATTGATAAGGTGTTTTAGAACAGTGCCTGGAGGCTTATCTCAACTTTGCTTGGACTCCTGCCTCTCCCGCTGTCAGGAAGGTTGACATGTCCTGGCCTTGGTGGCTGTACATTCTACAAGACAATGTACCTTGTGTCTACAAGGTCTGTACAAGGTACACATGTTCTCATACAACAGCTTAAATAAAATAAAAAAAAAAAATTAAAAAAAAGAGGACATGTCCTGGCCTTGGTGGCTGTACATTCTACAAGACAATGTACCTTGTGTCTCAAGGTCTGTACAAGGCACACATGTTCTCATACAACAGCTTAAATAAAAAAAAAATTAAAAAAAAAAGAGGAGCCCTAGCTGGCTTGGCTCAGTGGATAGAGTGTTGGCCTGCGGACTGAAGGGTCCTGGGTTCGATTTCAGCCAAGGGCACATGCCCGGGTTGTGGGCTTGATCCCCAGGGTGGGCGTGCAGGAGGCAGCCAATCAATGTTTCTCTCTCATCATTGATGTTTCTATCTCTCTCTCCCTCTCCCTTCCTCTCTGAAATCAATAAAAAAATATTTTTTTAAAAGAGGAAATAGTGACATGTGTGTTATTTACTTTGTTGTATATTTTGCATAAAGTAAAAGAAGGGAATACATGGAACCTAATCCTGGAGACCCTGAGTCCAGTTCCCCCCACATTTCCTCTGATCCCCAGGCTGGTTGCCCCTGTTGGGTTCCCATGTACTCTGTGCTTCCCTCACACTGTATTGCTGTTTACTCCACACAGACAGAATTCCCAGGCATGAAAACCATGCTGCGCTCCCAACAGTCGGCCATGTAGGGTCTGGTAGACAAGAGGCCTTGAGTAGTGTTTGATGAATGAATGTCTGAATGATATAGTGCTAAACACCACTTAACAAGTCTGGGGACCCTGAAACCCTGTAATGACCCTTGGGCAGTAATGTGGCTCCCAAGTCATAATTCTTAATCTAGTACTCCTTAGCTCTGACCTGTCCCCTGCCTGGAATATTATCCCCAGAGACCTGCGGAGCTCCTGAGCTGCTCCTGCACGCCTCCTTTCCTGGTCAGAGGCCTGGCTCTCCTCCCTGACTCGAAGTCTGGAGATCCTGCCTACATAGAGGTTG